TGTGATTTACTTTCCATTGTTCTTTGAAAGTAGTCTTAAATCTAATTTTTGACTTTGTCCTAACACTTTTGTACAGTACTGTGTAAACCATTTTTAGAGTTAATAAGAGTTGATTATCTGATTTTGGTAAATTATAGGAAATTACAATATGTTATGAGAAAAAAAAGATGGGGGTGCATAATCTTCATGTTAATGGGGAAATTTGAAAGGACGTTAAGGTATTTTTATTAATCAAACCTCCTCAAGGTGGATTCCTATACGTGGTGAGGGATCTCTCAGGGAAGGTTCTGTATTTTCAGTTTACATCCTCTGGGATTTGAACATTCACCTATGTGTTTGCCATGCGTGGTGACCCATGAAGGTGAGGAAAAGATCCTGGTGGTTGAGGGGTGTCAGTGGCATTTTAACACACCACTTTGGCCTTGAATTCCTGTAGACGGGTGGCTCCCCTATGGTTAATTGACTGGCCCTGTTGGGTTAGGGTCAACTAAGTACCAGTGTTGGGTGTTCTGAATGGGTGTTGTGGACATTGTATCTGATGCTTGTGTTTGGGTATAGTGCTCACGAAGCCCTAGTGTTGCTACAATGTCCTTGTTTGGCATTGTAGTTCATCCCCTTGTAGGACTCCATGGTGGATGGGGTCAGTGGACACTGAATTATTTTCTCTTTCTTATAGATCCCCAAAATCCACAAAAAATAAAATTGTAAAAAACAATAAATATGTAAGTGACCACATATGGAGGACTCTGTTCCACAGTCACCACCCAAGTCAGTTACTGTACCTCATTTTCTGAGAAATCGTTAGGGCAATTGTCTCCTATTTTCATCCAGAAGGGATTAGAGGGGCTTGCTGGCTCTCCAAAGTCAGGAAAGAAGTTACATTCTGGGGACATTTTGGTTGAAACATCTATGCCACACCATAGCGAGCTGCTCATGAGGTCAAAGAGCATTGAGGGCACACCTATCGAGGCTACTCCCCATGCAACTTTGAATTATTCATGAGGAGTTATCGTAGAGCGGGATTTAAAGACCATCACCGAGTCAGAGATCCTCGCTTGTTTCTCCAGCTAAGGAGTTTCAGCTGTGCGATGCATCTCCACTCGAAAAGATGGAATACTACAGCCTTCCAATGTTCTAATTTTGATGTTTAGGCAGGTTGTCTTAGTTGTAAGGTATGACCATATATTCCTGACCCTCTCGGATGTTTCCAGTGTCAGTGGTTCGAACATTCAAAGGCATCTTGTCCTGACTTCTTGATGTGTACTCATGGTGGCAAAGACCATGACACCTACGAGTGTCAATTGGACCTTCACTGCATCAATTGTGGTGGTTTCCACCCCTCTTACTATCGTTCTTGCCCTAAGTGGGTGGAGAAAAGAGAGGTACAACATTTATGTACTGCCTATAACATTTCTTACCCCAAGGCTCAGAAGTTATTGTCCCCTACTCCTTCTCCAACATATGCTGTTGCACTATGTTCCACTGCTACAGTGGGAGTGCAGACAGATCTTTCAGTGGCTCCAACAGAGTCCTTCTCTCATCATGTAAAGAGACTTGCCCTCCGTGGATACTAGAGTTGACAAGTCTACATCTACTCCTGTCTATGTCCCCACCATTGCTTCCAGTGACTGCTTGATCCATCTCCTTTGGCCCTGAACTATTATTTATTCGTGCCCTCAGTCACTGGAATCTTCTTCCACTTACAGAGATCTGCTCAATCGATCCAGGACAGGCCCCACATAGGTCAATAGTCCTCTTTCTGCTAAAGAAAAATGTTGTGGCTGCAAGCGGTAGGGTTCTCTGCCCAGTTCACCTCCTCCTAAATAAAAATGGCCACTTTGATATAGTGGAACTGTCGAGGTTTCCATTCTAATTTGGATGATATTAAGGCCTTGATCGATTCCTATCATACCATGTGTGTCTCCTTACAGGAAACATTCCTGAGACCTGCTGATACTATCACCTTTCAGCAGTTTCTTTACAGCAGAATAATGTTGTGTGATGGTTGAGTCCATGGAAGCATGGCATGGCTGGTCATCTTTGTTTGTGCCACTTGATACACCCTTGGAGACTGTAGCCATTCATATCTACATGGGTCGTACCGTCACTGTTTGTTCTTTTTACCTGTCTCCAGGAGAGACTTTCAATCAATCAGACCTTGATGCTCTTGTAGAACAGTTGCTGCCTCCCTTTTCATCTTGGAAGACTTTGATGGACACAATCCCCTCTGGGATGGTGCTGATATTGATCAGAGGGGTTGTCCTGTGGAGTATATGCTCTCAGATCACAACCTTTCTCTCTTCAATACTGGTTCTTTTATGCATTTTCATGCACCTACTCGGTCTTTTACAGCTAAAGATCTCTCTATCTGTTCCCCTTCACTTTTTTCTTCTTTTTTCTTGGAGGGTTGACAGTGACCCATGGGGCAGTGATAATTTTTCCATTGTTTTATGAGGGATTGACAATGGTGGATACCACCAAATCTGAGTGCTATGGTGAAAGTTAGAGTAGGCTGACTGGCCCTCCTTTACCACTCTCTTGGATCAAGATCCCGCTGCTGTTAGTCTTCCATATATTAATGACTGTGTGGAGACAGTTACTGATTGTATAACTCAAGCAGCTGTGCATTCTATCCCCAAAACCTTGACACATTTCTCATGGTATCCCATGGTATCCTCATCCATGGTTGTCTCTTGCCTGCCAGCAGGAATGGAAGGCTCAGAAACAGGACTAGGATGCCTTTTGCAGGTATCCCACTCTTTCCAACTGCATTGCTTTCTAGCAGGCCCATGCTCGGAAGGTCAGATGTTAAAGCCAGAAGGGATCTTTGATTAAGTTCACAAGCAGCATCTCTTCTACCACCAGTTCGAAAGTCCTCTGGGAAAAAATTTGGAAAGTCAATGGGAAGTATTCTTCACATCCCCTTTTCATCTTGCCCTCCATCAAGCAGCTTTGTGTCAAGTGTTCTCTCTTCCACCTCTTGGGGAGCGGATTGATGTTCCTTGCTCAAGATCTGTTGTACCCTCATACGAGCCAAACTGGACTATGGTTTATGGTTCTGCCAGGCTCCCTGCCTTAAAGATGATGTTGTACCTTGTTCACCATCTGGGGCTTCAGCTCTTTGTGACACTCAGATCACAATTGCCCACCTTTTACTTTTGTGCTGCTGTTATTAATTATTAATATTATTTATCTGTAAATACTCACTGTTGGAAACTTCTGGTTGTGTGTTTCGGGATCCCTATACCCATGCAGTGTCAAATCTTGAGGTATATCACATGATCTAGTTTTAAATCTTACCACAAAAGGGTCAGTGTACCTGAGGGCTTCTGTCAGTGTTTGAACTGTCTTTGTACCAATGTCAAGTTGATCATGTTGAAATCCAACATTGTAGGTTTGCTGCACCCATGACAACAAGGTATTGAACATACGATCTTTGGCTGTTCACTCAGGTCTATGGTAAAAAATAAATACAATTTTGAGTTTAATGGACACGTACATTCAGCTATTAAAAACATATAGCAGCTAAACTTGTATAGCATATTTATATCCATATTTATTATTGAACACCCTGGAAAATGAGAAGCATATTTCTTTCTTTGTTCATTCAGCATATGTATATTAATTTACAAGTTTTTTATTCAGTTCACAATTTTACACTAGATATTACACTTAATTTTCAATTCTAATATAAGTCACTAGGTTTGTCAGCAACCTTACTTAAACTCTCTAGATATCTACCCTGTAGCTAAACATTGAAAAACTTTGTTATCACAGTGGCTTCTTAGATATTGGACTTGTCGGTTCTCACTCAGGTCATCAGAGAGACCGACGTGGTCTTGCTGACATCTCCTGAGCCCTGAGACACAGTTTGATTGGGGTCAATCTGTTGCCACCTGCCTGTAATACTTGTAGCAGATTACCAAAGAGACTGATGCAGTTTTATTGTTCTTACCATACATACACAATAAATGCCACTGAAATATTGTGCTTTAAATTACTGTATTCATATAAGCAGTTGTTTTATATAAGGTGAAATTACCCTATAGCATTAAGAACCCAAAAGAACAAACCAAAATTTACTATTATGGAGTATATATATATATATATAGCTGGAAGTCTGCAGTATGGCTTAAACTAATATTACAAATATTAAACCCATAAAATTTGACTGTGGGAACATCCCTATTCTTTTGACTGTAATGACAAAACTTTGAAGGTGGGTTCATCGTCTCTTGATTTTGATTTTGTCCCCTTGGAAAAATTGCTGTGGATGCCCATTGTCTTGTATGTTGTAAGAAATATGTTCGTAAATTGAAGAAGTCAAAATTAATGTATGCTTTAAGCTTACAGGTAACTAGAGTTGTAAAGTGAGTTTTAATTGTAAACTGTTTAATTGTTGTAACATAGTTGCATGTAAGCTATTTGTGTACTGAATGAAAGCTAGATCATGCTACACTTCTTTTAAGCATGTAACATATACAGAAAAGCAGGTTCATATTGTCTTTTTTTGGATTGACATCACAGGTATCTTTATATAATCAGCTGTATAAAATAAGTGTGATGTTAATGTGGCCAGAATTTGAAAATAAGGTTATCCAATAAATAGGAGACAATTTTGTCAAGAATAGGGTTTCAGTAATTTAAAAGAACATGTTTATGTCCAAGGGTTATCTCTTATCATTAGATTCGGCATAAAAATTATCATGTTTAGTCTGATTTTCATCAGTTTTCAGTTTATGCTTACAAATACAATCCATCAATAGAAATTTCAAATTTTGTAGCTAAAGAAATTACTTTGGAAAGCTATATTAGCTTCAATATGGAATTTATACAGCTTTTACTTGCTTTGCTCATTTCCATGCAACAGGAAGTTCAGAAATCAATTATAGACTCTCGTGTTTAGTTCTTACTGGAAAAAGGTTAGAAATATAGATGTACAAATGCACTTGATGAATAAAAATGCCAGGAAAATACAAATTAATCCTGTCTACATAGTATAATTTAAGAGTCTAGAATCATATCTGGTTAAAACATTTTATTACAAGCAGAGACTTGAGAAACTGAAGTCTGACCATTCTCCTTTTTTTTCCTCCAGTTCTTATGAGCCTTTTTCAAGCTTTTCCGTGCACTATTCATTTCTGCTTGCTCTGTGCATATTTTCAAAGCAAAAATGTTTGAGCAAATAAAATTATAGTGTTTCTTAATTTACAGTCAAAGCTATATGAACAAATGTACAAAAGTAACATGAACAGAAGTGAAACCTGAGATTGTAACTCAGAGGTAACTACCCTGAGGTATTATAACCTACTTCTATGATATAATGCTGTGTGGGGTTCTTCTGTATTTTCCAAATTGAATAGTTTCCACTATTTTTATCATTATCACCAGAAATAAAACATCTTTTATGGGATCATGTTGATGAATAATTTTTGTTGTTATGTCTTAGTGTCTTCGTGAATTGAAAGAGGCTGTAGTTGCAGCAAGAAAAGATCCAAGCTGCAAGGTGCTGCTAATAAACAGCTATGGAAGTATATTTTGTTCTGGCCTTGATCTTTCTGTTCTCATTGGGCTCCAAAAAAAGCAAGTAGCTGAGGAATTAGCCATTGGTGTGAAGTAAGGTGATTTTCTTGTAGTAAACTGAATAAAAAAATTTCAATAAGAGTCGATATTATAAATATGCTTTTAGTTTAATTTCACTTCAAAAATATTAAACACAGTGCAAAATAAAATCCTAAAAATATCATTGGACAAAATACAAAGAATTTTTCAAACTAAAGAAGAACATTTTAGCCCTAGGACATAACTTAGCAACTCACATAAAATCAGAAGACTGCAATGCTTTATACCAAGGTGCAAATAAAAAACAAAACAAAAAAGTGAGATGCACACAAACAAAATCAAAACATTGTTAAACAATCCCCAAAAGAACAACAACAAAAAATGTAAACACACAAGCAATAATTAATTTAACAAGTATAACTTTAGAAATGTTTACTCACCTCTGAACAACAAAGAGCTGTTATCTCATGCCACTGCTATGAAGATATGTGCATATGCCTTAAGCATTGAATGAAGCTTTCACCCCTACACATATTAAAATATATTGTGCTAGCTTATGATGTAATCATTAGACAAGAGCCCTCTACCAATAGGAGGATGACACATCATCCTCATATTGCAGTAATTCCCATGAGCATTACCATTTGAACAAAGACTCTTTCTTTCCTTATCAATCGTTATTCAGATGTGTTTTTTTTTTATTAGGAATTGATTTTTTTTCACTTTTTATTTTAAACTTTGTTACTATTCATAGTGTAGTCTTTTTTTAATTTTCTTGATTATGATTATGGAAAAGAAAGATACAAAATTTTAAACATTTCATTTAGAACTTTGATTCAAATTGTCTTCAATTTGATTTTTTCTTTGAATCAAATTTGTAGTTTTGGGAAAAGGTTCCATTGCCTGTGATAAGGTTTATTTTACAGTATTTGTTCTCATTGTTTTAATCCAGCATATGGATTTTGTTAAGTACTGAGTTTATCTGGATTATGAATTTTTGATTCAAAATTTTGACTTTCCTGAGGTTCTGAAACTTCTTAATAGGGGTCATCCAGTCAGTTTTGTGGTAATGACTGGAGGTATTCTGATGGTCAATTATAATATTGTCATTGTACACTAAGTAGTTCTTTTCTGATCTTGGATTCATGAATCTTGATCTTCTGCTTTTGGTACTTCAGCTGAGCCTGCCTTATCTTTTGACAAATTTCAGCAATGTTGTTTTTATGCATGGTTTTAGTTCCCTCTTCCTGACAAGGATCAGATAATCTCTTCTTTCAGCTTGGAATCTGCTCTTTTTCATTTTCTTCTCTCACTATCTTTTCACCTACTTGTTTTTGCCCCTTATTTACTCAACTCATTTGCTGTTTGTTCATACTCCAGCTTCTGGTTTTACATAACGACCATGTTAGTTTTGTCTAGAATGGAATTTTGTTGAAATGGTAGTGCTCATGGTGGTTACTGTATATGTAGGTTGTGTTGCCCTCCTTTTGATGGAGGGCTGTAGTCAAATAATTACATTATTGGCTGGTGCACTACATATTAATACTTGCAAAATGTGAAGAAATCTTTATAGCAGTAGTACCAGGTAATAGATCATTGTTCTGCAGAGAATTAACTATCTGGAATATGTTTTCACATAAAGAAAATGTTAAATTTTACAAATGCATACAAAAGTTTGGATATTGCCAGGCACTCTTGGAAGTTCAGAGAGGCCAGTTCTATCTTTTAAGTCCTCTGGCTGTAATAAAAAAAATGATGGCACATGTAAAACAAAATAAGACAATTATTAGTTCAAAAGAAAAGTGAAACATAATTTTAATATTTAATTTGCAACTCTAAGTTGAGAGTGTGTGTCACATTTTGGTCTGATTGCGAGGCACATAAAAACAAGTACTGAAACTTACAAATGCAAAAAAATAAGTGTCTAAATTTGAAGCCCCTTTGAACTTGAGGCACGGGACAA